GGACCGCAGAGTGCAGGGACCGCAGAGTGCAGGGACCGCAGAGTGCAGGGACCGCAGAGTGCAGGGACCGCAGAGAGTGCAGGGACCGCAGAGTGCAGGGACCGCAGAGTGCAGGGACCGCAGAGTGCAGGGACCGCAGAGTGCAGGGACCGCAGAGTGCAGGGACCGCCGCCGGGGGGGGAGTCGCAGCCTGACCCGGAACAACGTGCAGAACCAACACACAGCGGCCCGCAACCATTGATGGGCGGCAAAGGGAGGAGATTCTCCATCCAGATACAACTACCTACCCCCAACATAAGGGACTGTCTAACCCCCCCCCCCGATACAAGGAACTACCTACCCCCCTGATATAAGGAACTACCTACCCCCCTCCTCCAGATACGAGGGACTACCTAACCCCCCCTTCTCCAGTCCAGGACTTTTCAGACTCCGCCCTGGACCTCCAGTCCACTCCTGAGCATGAGGACACTGGTGACACCCATCTCAACATTTTCCTCCTACAGGCCCACTGAAGTACCACAGAGGGAAGGGGGAGGTGGGAAGAGGAAACCACAGAAGGGGGGGGGGGGGGTAGGGGGGCACAGAGAAAGCAAAAATCACAGAGAACAGGGGATACCACAGATGATAGGGGTGCCCCCCAGGGGTTGGGGGGATAGCACAGCAGGGTCTATGGGGGGGGGGGGGGGGAGGCGCTGTGTGAGCGTCACCAGCCGGGAGACCCCAGAACTGCGCTGGTCCGCCGCCAGCCATCGGGGCTGTTCTAGGGGAGGCGGGATCTTATCAGGGGCGTCACATGATCCCAGAATGGATCTGATATCACAGCATGGCAGGAATGTCTGATGTCACAGAGAGCGATAAAGGGGCCCCGCAGAGTATTGTAGCGGCAGATACCCCGCCGCGTTCCGTCCCATCGCCCCGAAGAATGGAGCTTCCTCTGAAGAACAATAGCAGCTTCACTGCATAGAAATACCACAAATGTTATGTGACTGAATTACAGGTGAGAGTGTCACACAAGACTGCTAGAGACTCCCCCCCCCCCCCCATCACATGAGAGCGCTAGAGACTTCCCCCCCCATCACATGAGAGCGCTAGAGACTTCCCCCCCATCACATGAGAGCGCTAGAGACTTCCCCCCCCCCCATCACATGAGAGCGCTAGAGACTCCCCCCCATCACATGAGAGCGCTAGAGACTTCCCCCCCATCACATGAGAGCGCTAGAGACTTCCCCCCCATCACATGAGAGCGCTAGAGACTTCCCCCCCATCACATGAGAGCGCTAGAGACTTCCCCCCCATCACGAGAGCGCTAGAGACTTCCCCCCCATCATATGAGAGTGCTAGAGACTTCCCCCCATCACATGAGAGCGCTAGAGACTTCCCCCCCATCACATGAGAGCGCTAGAGACTTCCCCCCCCCCAACACATGAGAGCGCTAGAGACTTCCCCCCCAACACATGAGAGCGCTAGAGACTCCCCCCCATCACATGAAAGCGCTAGAGACTCCCCCCCATCACAGGAAAGCGCTAGAGACTCCCCCCCATCACATGAAAGCGCTAGAGACTCCCCCCCATCACATGAGAGCGCTAGAGGCTGCCCCCCATCACGAAGCGCTAGAGACTCCCCCCCATCACATGAGAGCGCTGGAGACTCCCCCCCCCCATCACATGAGAGTGCTAGAGGCTGCCCCACCATCACGAGAGCGCTAGAGACTTCGCCAAATCACAGGAGAGCGCTAGAGGCTGCCCCACCATCACATGAGAGCGCTAGAGACTCCCCCCATCACATGAGAGCGCTAGAGACTCCCCCCCATCACATGAGAGTGCTAGAGACTCCCCCCCCCCCCCCATCACATGAGAGCGCTAGAGACCGTCACCACAGAACACAACACTGCAAGTGACAGTCTGTATAGGAGGGCAGTGCAGTGATAGGGGGACAGTCTGTATAGGGGGACAGTGATCAGTGTAGGGGGACAGTCTGTATAGGAGGACAGTGATCAGTGTAGGGGGACAGTCTGTATAGGAGGACAGTGATCAGTGGACAGTCTGTATAGGAGGACAGTGTAGGGGGACAGTCTGTATAGGAGGACAGTGATCAGTGTAGGGGGACAGTCTGTATAGGAGGACAGTGATCAGTGTAGGGGGACAGTCTGTATAGGAGGACAGTGATCACAGTCTGTGTAGGGACAGGACAGTAGGGGGACAGTCTGTATAGGAGGACAGTGATCAGTGTAGGGGGACAGTCTGTATAGGAGGACAGTGATCAGTGTAGGGGGACAGTCTGTATAGGAGGACAGTGATCAGTGTAGGGGGACAGTCTGTATAGGAGGACAGTGATCAGTGTAGGGGGACAGTCTGTATAGGAGGACAGTGATCAGTGTAGTGGGGGACAGTCTGTATAGGAGGACAGTGATCAGTGTAGGGGGACAGTCTGTAGATAGGGGACAGTGATCAGTGTAGGGGGACAGTCTGTAGATGGAGGACAGTGATCAGTGTAGGGGGGACAGTCTGTAGATGGGGACAGTGATCAGTGTAGGGGGACAGTCTGTGATCAGATGTAGGGGGACAGTCTGTATAGGAGGACAGTGATCAGTGTAGGGGGACAGTCTGTAGAGGAGGACAGTGATCAGTGTAGGGGGACAGTCTGTAGATGAGGACAGTGATCAGTGTAGGGGGACAGTCTGTAGATGGGACAGTGATCAGTGTAGGGGGGACAGTCTGTAGATGGGGACAGTGATCAGTGTAGGGGGACAGTCTGTAGATGGGGACAGTGATCAGTGTAGGGGGACAGTCTGTATAGGGGGACAGTGATCAGTGTAGGGGGACATGAGGACAGTGATCAGTGTAGGGGGACAGTCTGTAGATGAGGACAGTGATCAGTGTAGGGGGACAGTCTGTAGAGGAGGACAGTGATCAGTGTAGGGGGACAGTCTGTAGATGAGGACAGTGATCAGTGTAGGGGGACAGTCTGTAGGAGGACAGGATCAGTGTAGGGGGACAGTCTGTAGATGAGGACAGTGATCAGTGTAGGGGGACAGTCTGTATGTGAGGACAGTGATCAGTGTAGGGGGACAGTCTGTAGATAGGAGGACAGTGATCAGTGTAGGGGGACAGTCTGTGGATGAGGACAGTGATCAGTGTAGGGGGACAGTCTGTAGATGGGGACAGTGATCAGTGTAGGGGGACAGTCTGTAGATGAGGACAGTGATCAGTGTAGGGGGACAGTCTGTGAGGACAGTGATCAGTGGGGGACAGTCTGTAGATGGGGACAGTGATCTGTAGTGATAGGGGGACAGTCTGTAGATGAGGACAGTGATCAGTGTAGGGGGACAGATGAGGACAGTGATCTGTAGGGGGATGAGGACAGTGATCAGTGTAGGGGGACAGTCTGTGATGAGGACAGTGATCAGTGTAGGGGGACAGTCTGTAGATGAGGACAGTGATCAGTGTAGGGGGACAGTCTGTAGATGAGGACAGTGATCAGTGTAGGGGGACAGTCTGTAGATGAGGACAGTGATCAGTGTAGGGGGACAGTCTGTAGATGAGGACAGTGATCAGTGTAGGGGGACAGTGTGGGACAGTGATCAGTGTAGGGGGACAGTCTGTAGATGAGGACAGTGATCAGTGTAGGGGGACAGTCTGTAGATGGAGGACAGTGATCAGTGTAGGGGGACAGTCTGTAGATAGGAGGACAGTGATCAGTGGACAGTGAGATGGGGACAGTGTCAGTGTAGGGGGACAGTCTGTAGATGGGGACAGTGATCAGTGTAGGGGGACAGTCTGTAGATGGGGACAGTCTGTAGATGGGGACAGTGATCAGTGTAGGGGGACAAGTCTGTAGATGGGGACAGTGATCAGTGTAGGGGGACAGTCTGTAGATAGGGGACAGTGATCATCAGTGTAGGGGGAAAGTCTGTAGATGGGGACAGTGATCAGTGTAGGGGGACAGTCTGTAGATGAGGACAGTGATCAGTGTAGGGGGACAGTCTGTAGATGAGGACAGTGATCAGTGTAGGGGGACAGTCTGTAGATGAGGACAGTGATCAGTGTAGGGGGACAGTCTGTATAGAAGGACAGTGATCAGTGTAGGGGGACAGTCTGTATAGGAGGACAGTGATCAGTGTAGGGGGACAGTCTGTAGATGGGGACAGTGATCAGTGTAGGGGGACAGTCTGTATAGGAGGGGGACAGTGATCAGTGTAGGGGGACAGTCTGTAGATGGGGACAGTGATCAGTGTAGGGGGACAGTCTGTAGATGAGGACAGTGATCAGTGTAGGGGGACAGTCTGTAGATGAGGACAGTGATCAGTGTAGGGGGACAGTCTGTAGATGAGGACAGTGATCAGTGTAGGGGGACAGTCTGTAGATGAGGACAGTGATCAGTGTAGGGGGACAGTCTGTAGATGGGGATCAGTGATCAGTGTAGGGGGACAGTCTGTAGGGGACAGTGATCTGTAGTCTGTAGATGGGGACAGTGATCAGTGTAGGGGGACAGTCTGTAGATGAGGACAGTGATCAGTGTAGGGGGACAGTCTGTAGATGGGGACAGTGATCAGTGTAGGGGGACAGTCTGTAGATGGGGACAGTGATCAGTGTAGGGGGACAGTCTGTAGATGGGGACAGTGATCAGTGTGTAGTCTGGTGGGGACAGTCTGTAGGGGGACAGTCTGATGGGGACAGTGATCAGTGTAGGGGGACAGTCTGTAGATGGGGACAGTGATCAGTGTAGGGGGACAGTCTGTAGATGGGGACAGTGATCAGTGTAGGGGGACAGTCTGTATAGGAGGACAGTGATCAGTGTAGGGGGACAGTCTGTAGATGAGGACAGTGATCAGTGTAGGGGAACAGTCTGTAGATGAGGACAGTGATCAGTGTAGGGGGACAGTCTGTAGATGGGGACAGTGATCAGTGTAGGGGGACAGTGATGATCAGTCAGAATCCCCGGACAGTGATCAGTGCCGCACAGCCGGTCCCTCTGTGCTCCTCTCCCCGCCTCTCACTCACCAGCACCGGCAGTAATCTTTTCATCCCTCCCGGAGCCGCCATCTCCGGCTGCCACGTCTGGCTGCGCCTGCGCACTACGACCACGCTTCCTGATCCCCGGGAGCCCGGACACACCCACGTCAGAGTAAGTCACGCCCTCCCTCCGCCCACCGCTCTCACCTCGGCTCTGTATAGACGTTATTGACACGCCCAACTCTTTGCTCTTCTTCCCGCCCCCCGGCCATCCCACTCACCCCTTCGCTGCCCCGTCAAACTTTCACCTTCTTCCCCCGCCCACCGCTCCGCCTTCCTCCCTCACCGTTGGTCAGTAGTTACTCCGGCCCCCGCCTCCTCTCCCACCCACCCCGGGACACGTGGCCCTGTGCGCTTTGGGCGGGGCCGCGTCTTCTGCCACACTCTGATTCTTAAAGTGAAACTGTCCCCTAAAACTATCCCGGCGGGAGATCGGCGGGGGCGGGTCCGTGCGTTCTCATTGGACAGTGGGACGGCAGTGGGTGGAACTACAGAGTCACCGCCCGTCCATGCTGAGCAGACGTGTGTACACGCGTGTTGACATTTCAGGTCATGTGATTGTGTTGCAGTTTTACAGAATTATTCACAGAAATCAGCGCCGTACAAAGCGGCTGTCCCTGATGTGGATCAAAGTCCCTCCCTCCTCCTCAATTGTCCCTCTTCCTCAATTGTCCCTCCCTCCTCCTCATTTGTCCCTCCTCCTCAATTGTCCCTCCCTTCTCATTAGTCCCTCCTCAGTTGTCCCCCCCTCCTCAGTTGTCCCTCCTCCTCATTTGTCCCTCCTCCTCAATTGTCCCTCCCTCCTCAATTGTCCCTCCCTCCTCATTTGTCCCTCCTCCTCAATTGTCCCTCCCTCCTCATTTGTCCCTCCCTCCTCATTTGTCCCTCCTCCTCAATTGTCCCTCCCTCCTCAGTTGTCCCTCCTCCTCAATTGTCCCTCCCTCCTACTTATTTGTCCCTCCCTCCTCCTCATTTGTCCCTCCCTCCTCATTTGTCCCTCCTCAATTGTCCCTCCCTCCTCATTTGTCCCTCCCTCCTCATTAGTCCCTCCTTTTCAATTGTCCCTCCCTCCTCATTTGTCCCTCCCTCCTCATTAGTCCCTCCTTCTCATTTGTCCCTCCTCATTTATCCCTCCCACCTCATTTATCCCTCCCTCCTCCTTATTTGTCCCTCCCGCCTCAATTGTCCCTCCCTCCTCCTCTCATTTACCCTCCTCCTCAATTGTTCCTCCCCCTCCTCCTCATTTATCCCTCCTCCTCAATTGTCCCTCCCTCCTCCTCATTTGTCCCTCCCTCCTCCTTATTTGTCCCTCCTCCTCAATTATCCCTCCTCCTCAATTGTCCCTCCCTCCTCCTCTTTTGTCCCTCCCTCCTCCTTATTTGTCCCTCCCTCCTCCTCATTTGTCCCTCCTCCTCAATTGTCCCTCCCTCCTCCTTATTTGTCCCTCCCTCCTCCTCATTTGTCCCTCCTCCTCAATTGTCCCTCCCTCCTCCTTATTTGTCCCTCCCTCCTCCTCATTTGTCCCTCCCGCCTCCTTATTTGTCCCTCCTCCTCACTTGTCCCTCCTCCTCAATTGTCCCTCCCTCCTCCTCATTTGTCCCTCCTCCTCAATTGTCCCTCCCTCCTCCTCAATTGTCCCTCCCTCCTCCTCTTTTGTCCCTGCCTCCTCATTTGTCCCTCCTCCTCAATTGTCCCTCCCTCCTCCTCATTTGTCCCTCCTCCTCAGTTGTCCTCCTCCTCCTCCTCAATTGTCCCTCCCTCCTCCTCAGTTGTCCCTCCCTCCTCCTCAGTTGTCCCTCCTCCTCAATTGGCCCTCCTTTCGGTCTGATCTCTATAGTTGGATATATAACGAACAATTTATCTATCAGAAAGTGTTCCCCGGAGCTGAACCTTTCATCCAATGTATACATTGTTGCATTTGTAAACTTCAAAAGCCAATATACAGTGCCTTGAGAAAGTCCCCCTCCCCCGTAATGTCCCCCATGTTGTCATGTTACAATGTATCCCCCTTGAAATGTCCCCCATGTTGTCATGTTACAATGTATCCCTCCCCCCTGAAATGTCCCCCATGTTGTCATGTTACAATGTATCCCCCTCCCCCCCTGAAATGTCCCCCATGTTGTCATGTTACAACGTAATCCCCCCCTGAAATGTCCCCCATGTTGTCATGTTACAATGTATCCCCCCCCCCCTGAAATGTCCCCCCATGTGTTGTCATGTTACAAAGTATTCCCCCCTCGAAATGTCCCCCAAGTTGTCATGTTACAATGTATTCCCCCTCCCCCCTGAAATGTCCGCCATGTTGTCATGTGCAAAGAGACATCCCCAAACTCCTTGCCCGGCCGGTCAGTTGAGGTGGACGGCCATGTCTTGGTAGGTTGGCAGTTGTGCCGTACTCTTTCCATTTTCGGATGATGGATTGAACACAGCGCTCCGTGAGATGGTAAAAGCTTGGGAGATTTATTTATAACCTAACCCTGCTTTACACTTCTCCACAACTTTATCCCTGACCCATCTGATGTGTTCCTTGGCCTTCATGATGCTGTTTGTTCACTAATGTTCTCTATCAAACCTCTGAGGGCTTCACAGAACAGTTGGATTCATCCTGAGATGACATGACACACAGGGGGACTCTATGTACTAATCAGGTGACTTCTGAAGGCAATTGGTTCCACTAGATTTTAGTTAGGGGGATCAGAGTGAAGGCGGCTGAATACAAATGCCGCCGCACTTTTCACAGATTTATTGGCCACAAATGTTGGAAACCATTTCTCATTTTCCTTCCACTTCACAATTATGTGCCACTTTGTGTCGGTCCATCACATCCAATCCCGATAAATACATTGTAACATGACAACATGGGGGGGAGGGGATACATTGTAACATGACAACATGGGGGGGGAGGATACATTGTAACATGACAACATGGGGGACATTTCAGGGGGGAGGGGAATACATTGTAACATGACAACATGGGGGACATTTCAGGGGGGATTGCCAACATGGGGGGGGGATACATTGTAACATGACAACATGGGGGACATTTCAGGGGGAGGGGAAATACATTGTAACATGACAACTTGGGGGACATTTCAGGGGGGAGGGGGGGAATACATTGTAACATGACAACATGGGGGACATTTCAGGGGGGAGGGGAATACATTGTAACATGACAACATGGGGGACATTTCAGGGGGAGGGGGGATACATTGTAACATGAAAACATGGGGGACATTTCAGGGGGGGAGGGGGGGATACATTGTAACATGAAAACATGAGGGACATTTCAGGGGGGAGGGGGAATACATTGTAACATGACAACATGGGGGACATTTCAGGGGGGGAGGGGAATACATTGTAACATGACAACATGGGGGACATTTCAGGGGGGAGGGGGAATACATTGTAACATGAACAACATGGGGGACATTTCAGGGGGGAGGGGAATACATTGTAACATGACAACATGGGGGACATTTCAGGGGGGGGGGGGATACATTGTAACATGATATCTATATCTGGAGTTCATCTTTTATTCTCTTAATATATATATAATTATTTATATATATATACAGTTGCAAGAAAAAGTATGTGAATTGTAACCCCCTTGGGATTACGTGGAGTTTTGCATGAATTGGGCATAAAATGTGCTCTGAACATCATCTAAGTCACAACAATAGAAGAACACAGTCTGCTGAACATAATACTACACAAACATTAGATGTTGCCATGGTTTAATTGCACATAACATGTAAACATTCACAGTGCAGGGAGGAAAAAGTATGTGAACCTTTGGACTTAATAACTGGTTGACCCTCCTTTGGCAGCAATAACCTCAACCAAACGTTTCCTGTAGTTGCAGATCAGACCTGCACAACGATCTGGAGTCATTTTGGACCAATCCTCTTCACAAAACTGTTTCAGTGTAGCAATATTCTTGGGATGTCTGGTGTGAATCGCTCTCTTAAGGTCATGCCACAGCATTTCAATGGGGTTGAGGTCAGGACTCTGACTGGGCCACTCCAGAAGGCGTATTCTGTGCTGTTGCAGCCATTGTTTTGTTGAATGACTTGTATGCTTTGGGTCATTGTCCTGTTGCATCACCCATCCTCTGCGGAGCTTCAGTTGGCGGACAGATGGTCGTACGTTTTCCTGCAAAATGTCTTGATAAACTCTGGAATTCATTTTCCCATCAATGACAACAATCCATCCAGCCCTGAGGCAGCAAAGCAGCCCCAAACCATGATGCTCCCTCCGCCATGTTTCACAGTGGGGAATGAGGTTTTGATGTTGGTGTGCTGGGCCTTTTTTTCTCCACACATAGTGTTGTGTGTTCTTCCCAAACAACTCAATCTTGGTGTCATCTGTCCACAGTATATTTTGCCAGTAGTGCTGTGGAACATCCAGGTGCTCTTTTGCAAACTTCAAACGTGCTGCAATCTTCTTTTTGGCCAGCAATGGCTTCCTCCGTGGTGTCCTCCCATGTACTCCATTCTTGTTTCATGTTCTCCTTATTGTAGATGTGTCAACAAAAATGTTAGCATGTGCCAGAGATTTCTGTAGGTGTTTAGCTGACACTCTGGGATTCTTCTTTACCTCATGCAGCATTCTGCGCTGTGCTCTTGCAGTCATTTTTACAGGACGACCACGCCTAGGGAGAGTAGCAACAGTGCTAAACTTTCTCCATTTGTAGACAGTCTGTCTTACCGTGGACACATGAACATCAAGGCTCAAGGAGATACTTTTGTAACCCTTTCCAGCTTCATGCAAGTCCACAATTCTTGATGGTAGGTCTTCTGAGAGCTCTTTTCTGCGAGGCATGGTTCACATCAGACAGTGCTTCTTGAAACCAGTAAACCCAAAACAGGTGTCAGCAACACATCCAATATCATCACACTGATTGGAGTCAAGGTTGGCTCACTCCTGGCTCCAATTAGCTCTGGGAGAAGTCATTAAGCTAGGGCCTCACATACTTTTTCCTCCCTGCACTGTGAATGTTTACATGTTATGTGCAATTAAACCATGGCAAC